TCTTGCATCATCTTCCACATGCCCTTTCACCTATCAGTCCCACGAGTGCAGCTCTTTTCCTCACTTTCTGTATTTTGTTTGTGATCCTTACCCAGTAGTCTCTACTGGCTGCTGTAGCTGCTGACTCATGCTGACTATGGGTTTGAAGAGCTGAAGTTGTCTAACTAGGCTCTTCAGCAACCAAATTCCTTCTCCAGAAATGAAGACTATGTCTTTATTTCTAAAGTATTGTAAGTCTTTTCTCAAGATGTCTTAATCAAAATAACTCAGATGATTTAAGAATCATTTGAAATAATCACATCCCTCTTCATTTGACTCAGTTACTGTTCTTAGTTCCAGATGAAGTATAGTCAGAGTGGTGTAAAGAGTCATGAAACTGCATACTATAACACGGTCTTTTATGCTCAATAAAAAAGCAGGGGAGTAGGGCGGGACTTGTAATCTCCTAATGCACATAGGATGACAGTCCTCTTGCTGGGCTGTTGTTTCTGTTTTGCTTTATTTGACAGTACCCCGCTCTAGTCAGTGACAGCACCCCATACATTAGCAGATAGCACACAGGCTCAAGCCTGTTCAGCACACCACGCTGCCTTCATCCACTCTCCAGTCTCCTCTGAAATGATGGCCGACCGACTGAAGTTATGGTAGCCAACTTTGAGGATGCAGACTTCCAAAATGCCTTGTATTCCTCCTGAGCCCTCCATAACTGTCCCCAATATTAAGAGAGGTTTGTCATCATCTGCTGACTTTTCTCAGACAGAATCTATGTGATGTGTGTAGATGGGGATCTGAAAAAGTGTAGTCAGCGAATCGCTAGCTTAGAAGTGGTGAATGTATGTGAAAATCAGCTAATAGCCCTAGACAAGGGCAAGAAATAACAGTATCTCACACAGACTGGAATAGCAATTCACACAGAGGCAGGACTATGCTATGCCAGGAGTGATGTATTCTCAGATGCAAAGCACAGGCCCATGCAATAATGAATTATCATACACCCAAACTTGAATGTTTTGCTACACATTTGTGTGGGTCAAGCACTGTTTATAAACATCCAGGTGTGGAACCTAACTCATTGTCACATTAAAATCCTCTTGTCTACACTGTCCTACTGCCTTGATCCCCAGAGTACATACAGGAAAAAAAAAGACCAAGTCTGGACACATAATACTTACATGGGTCACTATCAGAAATCGAAAAACAAGCAGCTCTCGTTATAAATAAAATGAGGTTTGCAGATTTTTTAAAAGGAAAGACCTATTATTGCAATTCAGAAATGCTTCACATGACTTCTAGAAATTTAGTTGCAACAGTTTTGCAAGAACTGAAAAAAAAAAAAAGGTTTGAATGTGAAGTAAGGGCAAGATAAAGAAATCAATGAGTATCATTTGAACCCCATTAGAGGTCCTGTAAATAGGAAAAGAATATTCTATTATTTGTCTACCCAAGGAAACATAAGGACATCTCCCACCCAATGAGTGGGTCTTCCTGCTATGTAATGTCTCACAGGTTTAACAGCTGCTACATGCATTAGCAGCAATGAGATGGTGCCGATTTGTCTCTGTTATATTAGGACTTTGCAGTGCATGCGATGTGTGAATAATGGAATGCAGTAATGCAAATCACCCACCATTGTCTGAGCAAAGAAGGGCTCTGATGACATAGCTAAAAAAGGTTGGCTACTTATGGTGGCCTTGTTTTCCTATCTCTAGGGTGGATACATGGCTAGTAACAAATGCCCACTCTCTGTGGCTATCCCGAAAATAGCTAAGTGACCACAGGTTGCCAGGCAGCTGTATTCTGATGTCATTCCCCCAAATGCTGTCTCCAGAAGCCAATGTGAAACAATCACCTTCTCCTTGTTCCAGCAGTTTCCATTAACCATGGCATTTAGGCAACTGATCAAGGATTCAAATGACTGATTCTTCACATTTTTATCATGATTTAAAAAAAGAACAACCTTTAAAAAAGTTTTTCATCATATAAATAAAGCTTTTCATCATAGGCAATTTTTTAACCTTAAAAACAGTAGCAGATATTGTTCTGATCCTGTGGAAACACATCTCTATAAAATTATACTTCAGCATATAAGAAGGGCAAAAAAAAAAAAGCAATGGTGGATGGATCAAACATGTCTGTGAACAGTTTTATTGTAAGATTACCAGGAAGGTAAAATTTCAAGTTCAGTTTGACATAAGAAAACAAATGTTAACCTGGAGAAGAATGTTAGAGCATTGTCTTCATCCTCCCATCTCTTGTATTATATTCCTTGGTCTTAGAAATGTGGAGCTCCATGCAATGAAATGCTGTGTTTTAGCAGTAAACCCACTACTTGCCTCTCAGCAGAATGCCAGGCCTATTTTAAAATTGATATCATAAAGGTAGAGCCGTGTGGAATTATTTGGAGACCAGTGGAGAGAGTAAGGCCAGGCTAGCCACCCACTTAGGTCACAGATCTGAAAATCTCAGGTTACCTAGCCATATTTGTCAGCTTAACACCAGTAGACGCCTTTATCTGCTGACCACCCTGTAATCGAAGTTTCCATTTCCTTCTCATGTTAATATTCAGTAGGAACAACTTCTGAAACATAAGTACCTTCGGACATCTTATCTTCCAAGTGTGGCCACATGATAGACTTGTGTTTTCAGTTCTCCAGAAACCAACCTCATGCACAGCCAAAACCTGGCCAGCGGGGCCTTGCTTTTGTGTGTGTCTGCCCCTTATTGCAAAATAGCACAAATTAATACAATTTAGTGATTACTGAACTCTTAATGTTGATTTCAAAATAACTGTTAATAAGCTATCATGATCAAGTCTGTGCATTTTCAAATGAACTATCCAAAGGAAGTATTGTTAATCCAATATATTTACTATGTCACTCTTTCTAATATTACTGAATTTTTTGCAAACAACCCACATCTCAGTTATCAATACTTAAAATGCTGTCCTTGTAGATTTGAGGTTATAAAGTGTGGCAAGGTACAGCTTCCCTCATGTACTAATATCCCTCTCGATGGAGGGATTGTTGATCAGATCTCAGCATCAGCAAGCCGTTCCTGTTTCTGGCCTCAGTGTTGCAATCTGAAACCTTACTTGTGGGAAAAGCAAGGAGACTGATCTCTGATTTTAAACTTTTTGGAGCAGCCAACTCCTCCTTCTAGCTGTAGACGTAAACATGTTTCCCACCTGTTGCTCCTACCAACTCTTTTCTCCCCCTGCTGGCTGAAGGCTCCGCTGGTTGACTAGCAATTCCTCCCTTCCTGGGACAGATTTGATCACCTACGCTAGTAATTTCAGTTTTTCCTGGAAGCAACATGTTTCCAGTGCCTAAAAAATTAAAAGAATACAGTGACCTTTACATAAGGTACACCATGATTTGTAAAATAACTTGGGTAGAAGGGGATTGCAACTGAGATGGAAAATAAACAAAAATATTTAAAAATAAACTACTATAAAATTAAAAAAAAAGTTGGGTAGAAATTGTTCTGAAGTTGTATACTCATTTTCTGGAAATGAGACTTTCATTATTCTTCAGGACCAAAAGTAATGAAAGTCCTTTCATTCTCACTCACAGTGTTTTTAGTGGTAGTAGTAGTGGTGGTGGTGGTGGTGGTGGTGTGATATTTATTATGAATTTGCAGATACATGTAGGAGGACTCTGGGAAACATTTGAACTATAAAATGTTAGCATGTCTGTGGTTCCAAAAAATGCATAAAAACAGTATCTCTTCCTGCCTTCTTGTTCACATTCAAAAATATATCCACATATTAATACCACTTTGGTACATCTCTGTTGCTAATAATAGTCTGGTACTTATGATGATAATAAAGGCAAAATAAACCCATATTTGGGAAAGGCACAATAAGATTGAGACATTTTTTACTCTAGCTCAGGTATGGACTTTGGAATATTTTCGGGCTCATGAGATTTAATGAAATTTGTTGACCAGGAATGTCTTTGATCAGTGCCTCTTCTGGTAGTGCTGGTGACTGAATTTTATGCTATGGAAACCTTGGTAACCTATAAATCCAGAGCTCTGCTTTTGTGTGATATGGCATATGTGTTCAGTGGATGGGAATGGTGATAGCACACCTGAGAAGGAGCCCCTCAGCCCTCTTGGAAGTCTTAGCGTCAGTTTGATGTTTATTCAGTCAGGAGTTGGGAATCTCGGATACCATTAGTCAGTGTCTTAACCAGTACAATGAGTGATGTGTGACTGGTTATCAATCAACAACTTTTAGAGAGAGTGAATGTTCCACTCTATATAATAGCTATACAGTCTTGATTTTACCCTCTCTGAAAATTTAGAACTAGGAGGATAAATAAACTGGGGGCGCTTTCATGTATGTATAGCTAAATAAGTTTCTATTTGCATATACATACACACAGTTTCTATCTTCCTTAAAAAATCACTTGCTCAGGCCTCAGTAATAAAATTCAAGATTTAATGAAAAGGGAAAAAAGATTAGCTGAAACATACTGGAATTTTTTGTTGTGTATGCTTTTTAATGGCCAAAAAGAACTAATGTTCCTTGCTGTCCCCTCTTGATGGGAGGCATTATTAAGTATTTGACTAATTGATGTAGTATATATATCATAGGTTGTAGCCAGTTTAATAAGTTAACAAGCTATAAAGTCAGGAAAGCTTCTGTGCTAGAGTTATTTTGATTGAATTGAATATTTGTTTTGCCTTTCTCGTATTTTGCCCTGTGCCACAGTACATAAAATTCGTTCCTAGATTTCATCAGACCTCCCTTGCTGTTAAGCGTATGGGTAAAATGGTGGCTTGCAAGCAGGTCATTCACCCCTAAAGAAAACACTCCCAGGTCACAACATCTAACCCACATTATAATAACAGCTGTGAAAGGATTCTAGAAAGTCCTAGGTGTCACAGTCATATACATTCTCCTTAAAATTCCCCTACTTCGTCACCTTCAAAATTTTAGTGAGAGGAATTTGCTGATGTAATTAATGACATATTTATCTCCCTCCCCCCCCAAGGTCAAAAAATATTTTGAACTTGAGCCACTTGCACGTGGAAAACGCTGGATTCTGCAGCCCTGCTCGCTGGATGACATGGATGCGCTGAAAGACAGCTTCTCTCAGCTGATAAACTTATTAGAAGAAAAAGACCATGAAGCTGTAAGGATGTGAAATCTGGCAAAGAAAACGGGTTCCCAAAACGCCTTGAACCTATCATGTTAATTTTTCATTTTAATTTTATTTTGGTATCAAGATTATAATGGCTTCAGTATCTATTTTCCTCTGTCTCAGTCTCTCATCTCTCTATTAAAGTGAATATTCTGTAAATCAGGTGAATTATCATCGGCATTAACGTCAAGTATACACTACTGAGAGAGAATGTATCTCTGTTTACCACTAATCTGCGCTGCATGTCTCTTCCTTATGTTGTTCTATATGTCTCGTCTAAATCCCGTGCTGAAATGGTTGGAAATCAAGATCCCTTGTGAAGGACTCAGGGAGACTCAGATCATTGACAGTTTTCCCTGGGTTTGGAGGTGGAGTGTTGGATGACTGGGAATCCTCATAGGTTTTTTGTTTTGTTTTGTTTTTTCCGAGAACTCCTAGAGGTTTTACTTTATAGTTTTTTGTATACTGGCCTTATAGATTATGAGAGAAAAATGAGCACCAAAAACTTCAACTCTTCACCTTATCAAAAGGACTCTCTTGCCATAGTAAATATACTTTGGGAACATAAAGGCAAAATGCATCGTGTTTTCTCAGTTACATTCTACGCCCTTTTCTCTTTTGAGAGCAAAGACATTGTTGTAGTGTTTGCGAGGAGTTAAGGGAATTTTCAGGCACAATGCATGACCACTGATTACTAGTTCATCAAGTCCTTAAATATTTTTTTAATGGAAAGATTATCCTGCATCAAGTCAGCTGCAACATGATATAGGTATCTTTTTCTAAAAAATCTTAGGAGTCTGATTGAAATAGAGAAAAGAATTTTTAAAATAATAAATGCAGTTTTTAAATACAGTCAAATGAAGTATCATTTATACTGGCTAGGATTTAAACTGGCATGGATTTGACAAAGATAACAAAGAATCATCTGTATATTCATTCATTAAGTGCTAATGGTGTTTAATGGAGTCAGTTAATGTCTCCATCTGGTAATTAAAGGTCTATCAGTATTTCTATTATAAACCTCTATTTTCAGGGGTTTCAACATGCCCTTACAAATGTGCTGTGGCTGCAGCAAATAAATAATTTTAGGGCCCAGATTCAGTCTTTGGAACGTTTTTTCATTTCTTTTAATGATAAATTTACATAAAGATAAGTATATAGTTTTATTAAGGCTTGGTGCCTTTGACCTTTTGCTAAATCAGGAATAACCTATGGATGTTGAGGTTTATGGATGAAATACTCTGGCACACTTTGTAGACTTTTAACCACTTAAAATGCTAAGTGGTCAAATGATAGAAAACTGCTCCTTATACCTGAGCAATAAAAACATGTTTATAATTTTAAGGAAACATAGACTGATACCCAAATATACAGACTCACACTGTATTACAGGGTGATGTAATACCTTGTAATTCTCAGAAGATACACGTCATTCAAATACAATTTTTGTGGTTTCATCTTGTAGGTGGATTTTAATGAAATCATTACCTTTGAAACATCGAACAGTTCTTCAAGCTTATTTTTTGAATTGAGTGGATTAAAAAAGATTCATATTCAATATTCATATTCAGTTTTGTCTACAGCATCCCTGAATATTTTTACACTGTGTAATATGTGAGCAGCACAAACTTTCATTCCAATGACCAGTTACACGACGACCCTGCATTTCATTTTGTCCTGTTGTGCTCATCTTCTGTGAAAAATAAACGATTATTAGGCATTGCTTTCCCTGCAAGTTCATTGAATGTAGAATGTTGTCTTTTTAAGACTCTGGGGCTCCTAAGCCATCTGTTAAATGACTTGCCGTTGTCTGTGTTTGTTCGTGTCTGCTCCAGTGATGGGCTTCTTCTCAGACCCACGACTGTCTGCAGTGTCTCAGCCGTCAGAATGAAAACATTATCAATCAGTACCCAACAACAGCTGTTTTTGACAAGTTTCTGTCTGACGCCTAATGCTTTACAACTGTCAATAAGGCTCCTTCTTTGTCTAGCAGTTCGGAGCGCGCCGTCTTGCTGCTTCTGAGCGGCATTCTGTCCTTGTAACCCTAGAATTCGCCGTTTTGGAAACCCACTGGGGGAGGGAAGGGGGCTTGGACGGGCACGTGTGGGTGGGTGGTGGGTGGTGGGTGTGCGTGTATGTCGTGTGTGTCCTATTCCTACTTTCATGTAAAGTGCCACAGGTGTCTTAGTTTGCATATTCAAAGATTATATAGGAACAACAGTCTGTTATGTATCTCTTCACTTAGCTTCTTGTTATATTTATGGAAGTTCCAGTTTTTGTATCTTCTTGGCTAAAGCAGTTGCCTTTTTGTAATGGCAATTAATTTATATGACAAAACTTTGTATCTACTATAGTTTACAGTATCAGTTGCTAGTTAACTGCCATAATGCCTGTCTTTCTACTAAAAAAAAAAAAATACTGTATCTATACTTAGAGGTTAACAGATTCATGTGGACAATTGCCCAGGCAAAAACTCATATTGTCTGTGATTTATATATGATTTCCACTCTCTTCAAATGAAAATAAACACTGAATAGAATTGGTGTTTCCAGACTGACTCCTTTCGGCTTCAGCATTTGGGAGTCCCAGATTTCTGTTTACATTTATGTTGCCTATGTAAGTCTTCAAAATAAGTTTGCTGCTCTTGGGTCAAAACAAATGATTAATTCACATTTCCTTTGAAGTCATTGTGAAAGCCTTAGAGACAAAAGAAAAGGGGTGGAAAAAGCAAGTGTCTTTTCCAGTTGGGTTATCTTCAGCAGCAATTTACTTCCACTGGAGCCATTCGGCAGTTCAGCTGCGCAGAATTGTCGGTGAGTGAGAGTCATCCTTCCATCAAGACATCATTTTGCAGTATTCACTGGAAAAGCAGCTTTCCCAGAGTGGCTCAGTTTGGTACAATGAACTATTTCCTGCAGTGGTGGCAGATGCCCTTATGAAATAACTAAATATTTCTTAAGTGACTCAAGGAAATATTGTGTATTTACAGGCTAAGAGTATTCTACAAAAGAGAAAAAGTGAGAAGAAAATAATAAGGATGTGGATAGATGGAAGAAAAGAGAGAACAGGGGTGGGAGAGAATTCACAAAGGAGTTGAAAAACTCAATTCTCTGCTCTTACTGAGTCCCAAATGACAGTATTTTCCTGACACTTATTTGCACAGAAAGTCTGCAACAATTCACTTCTAAGCTGGGATCCAACCTGTGTTCCTAGTCTTGTTTCCACAGTAGGCAATTAGCAGTTATCAAATTCCTAAGCATCCCCCACCTATCCAAGCAAATGTGGACAGAACTGTAAAATTTTAATGCAAATTCTTAATGTCCAGATGGAATATTCAGACTTGAGTGGAAATCTAATATTCATGCCTGGCTTCATCCTCTTTATAATTTTAGAGTGCATTTTCATTAACCTCCTGACCTAATGGTGCAAACAGAAAGGAAGTGATATGTGGAGGGGGCGGGGAAGTGGGAGTGGCCCTTTGGGATCAGTCATTTTCAATGTGTTTGGAAGGGAGGATCTGTCTTTGTTATGCAGACACTTCAGGAGACTGTAGATTCCCTGCCTTCTTCTTTCCTCTGCGCTGGATCCTGGAGATCTGAAGTTCATGCTGTGAAATGCATTATCACATCGTGTTGGGAATTCCTGGCTCCCAAGGGTTCTCAACTTTTGGTCACCTGAAGTCAGCATGATTAAATGATTTGCATCTCAGGGTTAAATGTTTTCCAACTCAGACACATGAAGTGACTGATGAGCCCAGGTTTTGGCACTCCACCCCACCCCCCATACTGATTTAGAGACATGAAAAGGATCCCTTGTAAGACTCCGAAGCCTCAGCTGGGCTATCAGTTTCCCCTCCCCTTTCCCATTCTCTTGCAGTCAAAACCTAAACGAAGAACTCTCCACCTACTGTTTCCTCAGAGCTGGAAAGTGTCACTTCCCATCACTGGAATTCATCTGTCATGACAATCCCTAGGTAAAGCAACTTTCTGGGATGCAAAGAATTTAAAAAGCATGAAGAGTCTCTTCAATCTAGCATCCCTCCCTTTCCTGGCACAACAGAACAAAGTTAAAAAAGAAAAAAGTGTATGATTTTTCTATCAGATTTTCTCTCTATTCTCATCTTGCATTCCATCGCTACTCAGGGAGACATGCTCTATTCACTGGGCCCTGGTTTAGAAAGACCACCTACGGTGTTCTTATGCTCAGTCTGCCCGCACTCTCAAGCTCTGCTCAAATCCTCTGATCACATGGGAGTTTGCATGGAACACTTTATATGAACAATCACTTTTTACAAGAAACAGTGCTGGCTTTGTGGTTTAAAACAACTTCACTTACCATACAGACGTTATGAGGTCACTGGTACCTTGTTTGGAGAATAAGGAAAGAGAACCCTTGATTTCATGCCTTGCTAAGCTCAGCCAGGTTTATAACCCCGTCTGACTCTTGACTCCTCCCCCTCCCCTCCTCCCCCCCCCCCTCTAGTTGACATTTCCACGAGTATGGACCAACTTGGGTACAGCCATGAAACTGCATTGTAAAAGTTGATCTGCAAACTGGGAAAGAATGCTGAATTCCTTTTTCCCCTCTCCTTTTGTTCAAAAATCTCTCCCTGTTCATTCTGATGCTCCCAAAAGATCCTCGACAGTGACTTCAGCCTCACCCTTTCCAACAGCAGCATTGCAGTTGTGGACATGAGATGGACATGGGCACTGTTGTCCCCAGAGAGGTCTGGCTCCTGCTCTGAGCATCAGGTTCCCAAGTTACCCTCCTTTCCCTGCTTCCTCATGGGCTATGAGGAAGTGGGAGAGCCACTTGTTTCAAAGTCTAAGATCACTTACATCACAGGCAGCCCTTCATCAAGGTGTGAAAACCAGCTAGAATGCCACAACCTTCGCTGACAAGTGATTCATTGAGACAAAGGCTGGAGCTCTGGCATCAAACAGATGTCAGACAGAACACCAAATGCCTATAAATGACTGCCTTGAAGCACTGGAATGACCAGCAGCCCCAGCCTGATGATGCACTCCATGTCTGGATAAACTTACAGAAGGCCTGAGTGCTGGGGAGGGAGCCAGGGAGCTGTTTTTAATGAGATCCTGTGAAGAAGGCTGTTTCTGCAAAGAAGGGAAACCACAATTCTCACCTGAGAGGCTCATGTGATGAATGATTTTTGGCTGGTTTGTGTATAA